TGCGAGCAGAAACATATTATAGTTGCAACCACCATGATGGATTTTTTAAAGCACCACGCGCTCTCCCCCTCCAGCTACTACGTGCAGCCAGCCCTTATTCTCCCAACTCATTTGCTAGACTTGATCAGTTCTCTAGCTACCTCGAAAATCGCATCACTATCGATTTCATGTGATGGAATATTTGTGTCCTCCCTCAATATGAGAAGAACAGATGATAGTTTCTTAAACAGATGTTTGACCCTGGGTGAGATGTCAACTGGTGCGTGAGGTGGACCGTGGCAATGTTGCGTGCGTTCCAGGCCTACATACTTCGTATGAATTTTAGCTGCTTTGAGAGGACAGAGGGAATATACGCACCACTTCAGTGACAAGACTGCTCCTCATGTCTCAATCGATCATCCAAAACGTAGGCATCCCTTTATTGTTGGACTGCATTTCGATGGAAACAACGGATTATTATACTACCAAGAACACCCTCACAAAATCAGATCTAGCGATAGCGCACAATCTTGGCTCCGTCGGTTCCTTTATCTTACGAGTGCGAGGGAAGATCAGAGCCAAGCATGGATCGCAGCTACAGAATCGTCGAAACTCCAAGAATGCGAGCTCAAAGAAGCGAGAAAACCCCTTATGGTCGAAGTTTTCGTAAACTGGCTCTTCTTTGAAGCTAAGGGAGATGGATGAGTATTGGGGAATGGTTTGCTCGTGGCATGAATACGAGAACTCAACAGAATCGACTCATAAGCATCACCGCATTTCTTTGGGACTGTCTCAGAGATTTTAGTGATTTGTGCCATTAGGTTGGCACATAGTGATTTCTGATACACTTTACTTGTATTGCTGTGGACATCTTTCAAGAAGTGTTGGAGCTTGACAACATGCCTTGTAGCTCGGCAAACAAGCGCACCCATCCAAGAAGCCAGCCGCCTCAGTTACTCGTTGTTTTCTTTAGCTGGGATTCCAATACTTCAAATCCTTTTTCTGAGCCTTCTTCCGTATAATCACAGATTTCAAGCATGAGGTTACATAGAGGATTAACCAGAGATTAGGTAAGAGAACGCGGCCTCAATTTGCGTTGAGCAGGTGGTTCACTATACTCAGGGTTATCCTTTTTTGTTTGAAGATAACCTGCACTCCAACCCTCCCCTCCCCTCCGCGACTAGCACTCTCTACGCTCAACCCGACGGTAGTGAGGGGACTCTGAACGCAGCAGATGCTATTTGCTAGAGCAATTGTGAAGTGAAAAGGAAAGAGTACCAGAACATCTCCATAGATCCATAGAGATCCAGAAATGTGCGGTTTGTATCTCGCAAGCTCTGAACCTGAATCAACTCAAAGCACAGTCTGACACCGTCGCTCCTGTTGGACTCCCATGATTCCTTTATTTGACCATCCAGTGTATTCACCGCCATCGTGGACTGGGTGCAGTCTTCTAATAAATATACAAGCACCAGTAGCCTAGCTTTGACGAATTAGGAGTTCTGGCGGCGAAGGTGCAACCTCCTCCAAATTGTACCCTCCTGAGGTGTTAGCGGAAGATGAGGGGGGCTTTGCGCTGGGAATCAACGTCCAATAGTACCACGATCAATGATGAACGCAATTGTCAGGTTGATAGCGACGCCATCAGAATTGGAAGCGAAGTAAGGCAAAGTCTGCTTCTCTGCTAAGGTCGTTCGACTCCACCTTGCCACATGCAATTTTTCCCCTCCCCTCCCAACCCACTCAAATCATAAAAACAGGGGAACTCCTTGACCGGCAGTCCTGTAGGTGTAGCCCATATCTGCGTGCTAGAAACAACGCACCTGAATTTCGAACATCTCTAGTTCACTGAAAGGAGAAACTACTCACCCCAACCTGAGTACAACATCTACATCCAGTTTTTCCTTCACCGAACTCATGGAAAGTTTTCAAAAAGGTCAATCAAAACCTACTTGACCCAGAAGTTATTACGATGTATATATATATATATTATATCCCTACTATATATAATGCGCTATGTCTGTCTGTCCGTCTGTCACGAAATTCGGTATCAAGCGAACAACAACCTACAGGGTCCAGGTCAAGTTTGGGATGGGTATACCATATCCCTAGAAGTAAAAAACATACATTACCTAAGCGGAGCCCCGCCCACAGTGGGCGTGGCGTGCGTCGAAATGAGTGGTACTGAGGACCATGATTTCAAATTCAGTCACAAAACAGCCTCGAGACCGGGACAAAAGTGGGCATAGGTGTGGGTTGGTAAGCCAGATTGAACTGAGGAGACCCACCCTCGGTGGGCGGGGCGTTCTCTAGAAAATGGGTGCTCAGTGAAAATATTCATAACTCGGTTAAGAGGAAGCCTACAGACCAGAAACGAAATTAGTGCAGGGGAGCAATGCCTAAGGTATTTCCACCACGCATGATGTGAACGGAGGCCCGCCCACAATGGGCGGAGCGTGTCGTGAAGCGGACAGCGTTTTCTACAAGAGCTCATAAATCGGCTCCGAGATGACTTAGAGACCGGAAAACAGCGGATAGAGGTCAGGAGGGGAGGGGAAGCTAAATGTCAGGGAATGGGCGTGGCTTACATCAAAGTGGGCGGAGTTTGCAATTAGGCTTATAACTCGGTTCCTAGGAGTCCCGGAGTCCGGGAAAAAAGCGTATGAGGGTTGGCAGAGGGAAAGGGGTCAACCGTTGTTGGCGGGCGGAGCATGCACCAAAGTGGGCGGGGTTTGCCACGGTACTTCATAACTCGGTTCCAATAAGTTCCAGAGATGGGAGAAAAGTAGAAAAAGGTTGGGGAAGAGATGATAGTCAACTGATATCAGTGGGCGACCCATGCACCAAAGTGGGCGGGGTTTGCCACAAAGATACGTAGCTCGATTTCGTCCCCTACAAGACCTCATAATTCTGCTCCGAGACGACTTAGAGACCTGAAAAAATGTGTATAGTAGTGAGAGGAGGAGTAGAGGTTGAATGTGAACGCTGGGCGTGGCACCCCGAAGTGGGCGGAGTTTGCCACCACTCTCATAACTCGGTTCCTAGAAGCCCCAGCGCCGGGAAAAAAGTGGATAAGGGTTGCCGGTGGGAAAGGGGTTAAAATGCTATTGGTGCGCTAAGCATGCACCAAAGTGGGGGGGTTTGCCACAAAAACTCATGTCTCATAACGTCTTCTACAAGACCTCATAATTCGGCTCCGAGATGACTTAGAAACCTGAAAAAATATGTGAAGAGGTGAGAGGAGGAGTAGAGGTTGAATGTGAACGCTGGGCGTGGCACACCCCGAAGTGGGCGGAGTTTGCCACCACTCTCATAACTCGGTTCCTAGAAGCCCCAGCGCCCGGGAAAAAAGTGGATAAGGGTTGCCGGAGGGAAAGGGGTTAAATGCTATTGGTGGGCTAAGCTTGCACAAAAGTGGGCGGAGTTATGCACGAAACATTATTACTCGGTTCCAAGAAGACTTGGACACCAGGAAGAAAGTATAGAGGTCAGCGAAGGAAATGAAGTCTCAGTGGGCAGGACGGGGGAGTTACCCATGATTTTCGAAAGGGGAGTGTCTCCAAAGCAGTCGTACCTTGGAATCTCACTCAGCAGCTCTGCAGTAATAGAGAGAGAACATTGCTTACAGACCAAGCCTTACCACCTTCCAAAAAAAACCCTGTCTTGGAAGAAAGACCCTCTCCAAAACCGTCGTCCCTTGGAATCTTACTCAGCAGTTCTGCAGTAAATGAGAGGCAACATTGCCCACAGACAGAATTTCTCAACTAGAAAACCTTCTCGAAAATTGAAAAATATACCATGCCCCGGAAAAAACCCTCTCCAAAACCGCCGTCGCTTGGAATTGTTGTTTTCGTTCGCACCTAAAGATTGGGTACTGTCTTTTGATCGATTCTGTCTGAAACACGTAGCTCAATGCGGTGTAGGAAATAGAAAATATAGTTTGACCGAATAGTCGGTGTAAATGGAATGTACCGAACGGAAAACTAAAATCTAGAAAAGAATAGTGATCATCCTGTTTGAACCCCCGTGTGATGCGCGCGAATGCGTGCGCAGCCAAACTGGTTATTATACATCAGGTAAATAAAAAAGTAATAGTCCATGATCGACTCTCCATTAGTCTCGGCATAGTTATAGTTATATTTATTGAAAGGATGTTGTTGTCCCATCAGACTATGTGCCAATTAAATAGACTATCCACGCCTCCCCCCCCCCTCAGTTCACATTACCATTTATTCATGACTCGATTCTGTGTGTCCAAGAGAAGGGCCCTCTGTAGAATCCCAGGTCGCTATGTGTGACATAGAGAACACTATACAGCAGCAACTAAATGTGACCACTCTTTCCGACCGCATTGATTTCACCTCAATCCCTTCCCTTTTCTTGCTCTTCCCTTTCCTTTCACAATTTCAAATTAACTGTGGGCCAGCCGAAGAGAAAGACTTTTCTCCGATGCTATTTGCCCACCATCAAATTTGAGCAGGAAGAAGGCGACGCAGTCCCAGACGAAAGTCTAGACGGAAAAGCGCGAATACGCAACGAGCCAGCATGCACCTGTGTAACCTCCTTTTGGAAAAGGAGAAGAGCTTCGGGTGCAGACCATACACCACAAGTGACGACGGCCTCCAAGTAAATCTGGTTAGTAGTGGTTCATAGTGATAGCTGATTGGTAAATGATAGTTGTAATTAGTGACAACTGATAGAATACAACTGCAACAGGCTAATCATTTCATTGGCAAAAACTTACATTTTGTGGAGGCCGTCGTCACTTGTGGTGTATGGTCTGCACCCGACGCTCTTCTTGTTTTTTGAAAGGGAGTGTAAGAACTGGACCTACAGCTGAAGGCTGACAGGAGACAGGAGTTCTTGAATCTTTCTTCGCCCCTTTTCATATGACGAGGGCGGACTAATCACTGTGAACTCAACGACATCGACGCTGACGCTGTGAGCGGAGAAGGAGATAATGTGTACCAATTCGAATACCGCAACGCTACCGCGCCGCCACTGACAGTGTTCATTCAGGCATTCAGGTTGCTTTGCGGTATGCTCTCGACTTTTTATTTCCATTTAGTTGTTTTTAACGTGTAGTTGTAGGATACTAGAGTATGTTTCCATCAGCTTATCCCTTACGGCACGTGTTCCGGTAATAATGTGCTGTGTTGCAGCTCGGATAATTGGACCTATCAAACGTCGTATTGATTTGAAATTGTCTATTTGAGTGAGCGTCCAACATCCAGTCACACTTTCTTATTTCTCGTAAACGAGCCGAATGAGCTCTACTGTTCCTGTTGTTGGTAAGTACATGTCCTTCAAGTTGTCTTGTTGACTATGAACAACTGTTCATCAGTGAAATTAATCACTTTTAGTGGATACCGCCGATACTTCCATTGGGGATGTCGCTGAGAACTGGGAAAATGACGAGGCTAGTGAGAGTATGGAAAAGCAGCTCAGCGAGCGTTTTAAACAGGTATGTTCGCAGTAATTGTCTCTGCTAAATGTGTAAATGATGGACAAAGCATCCACTTGTGCATCACGAGTTCAGTCTTCACTTATATCCGTGTGCCTACTTTTTATTTGTGAAAATTTAATCAAGTAAGAAAAAGAAACAAAGATGAGCAGAAAGATGTTCGTTGTAAGTGTTCAGCAGCTTTGTTATCGATCGATGCGGTTGCCGAATATTCTTGAACTTAGCAATCTAATTTTTTTGTTTCATTCAGTAAGTGAGCATGTGGTGCAACACTTTATTACATGAAGTAATCCACTTTTTTTAGGGGAGGGAAGCTCCGGGGTGGGTGTAAAAGTTTAAGCGAAATGGTTCACGCACCCCGGGGATTCCCTCCCCTTGCAAAAATTGGAATTTCTGTAGCCGGCAAGAACTGTCACACCACATGCCCCCTTACTGGATGAGACCCTTCTTTTGCCGATAGTACTTCTGATTACGAGTCTTATCCGGCAAGAGGACATAGCGATTTAGAGCATGTAGAGTCACGGAAAGCATATTCTTTTCTTGTAAACGTTCAGGACAAAGCCTAGAAGGGAATCTAGCCCCGGCTCCGTGAGCAATCTTGGTTTTCCCCTGGGGGACTTCCTCTCCTAGGCTTAGTCCTGACCTGCTAACTAGGTGAATATTACTTCTCCGTAGACGTTAATGTCATCTAGTACAAGGACACATACACTACATAAAACGCGCTCGTTCCCGAGAAACACAGAAAAAAAAGCTTAATAGCAGCTCGTATTTTTAAAGTATTCCTTGAGCTAAATCACCATTAAAGCACACAGTGCACCGCAATGTCCCCTCTTACGGGATGAGACCCCAAATCCGAATGCGGTTTGGATGCTCACTCAGCAGTTGGAATTCTGAGTGTATAACATCGCTCACTTTCCATAAAAGGATAAAGGATAAAGCATTTGCCGTTGATCAATCCCTTTTTGGGATGCGGCACGCATTCTACTTCCATTTGTACATTCGCAGTGGCGTTTGAATGCGATGTGGCCTATACAATGACTTGCGGGGGCCAGCCGATGTTCAAGTCAGTTTTTTTTTATCCTCCCAGACAAGTCTGGTACCAATTAAGGCACCCGGAGGATGGAAAGCCTTGGTTGGGCCTTAACGGAGCATCTGACCTCACGGATTCGATCCCGACCGCGCGTGGTCAACGCGCCTTAGCTACACCACTTCAGACCCTATGAGAGGTCTAAATTTAGTGGATAGCATTCTTTGAACATGCGTTAAGCAAACCAACAATCAAAGAATTGTGCTTACCATTCATGTGGCTTAAGCATGTCACTAGACAAGACAAGTGGATATATAAGAGAATAATTGGTTATCAACGCGTTATCGGGGCGCTGCAAGCTATGTATCCGCTCGATTACCTAGATATTGTAGTTTTTGAATGCCACGATGTGCATTACTGATAGTGTTGTCAATCTATGGGAGGTTGCAAGGTATATGCGTTCCCCCATTAATAACTATTCAACTGCTGGTGTACAGAACGCACTTGCACTAAAAATCAGCTGATGGTAGCCATTCTAATTCCTCCACCTTAAAACTCCCACACTTCTCGTTTGTTTGATGTGCAACTGCCCAAGATATGTCATGCTAAGTGGTTCGAGCATTAAATTTCTGTCAGTACTGGCAGGTATTCGCGATTATTTTCATTTTATCTCATACGTGAACACGGGAAAGTGCTAAGAGGTCACACGACTTGATGCCTAGTAGAAGGTGTAAAAATTACTCCTTCGTGCCTTGTGTCCAAAATTTTCTTCCTTGTCGGTTCACTGCGATAGAACATATATGTTAAGACTCACATTATCGTTATATAAGTCAGCAGCCTTTGGAGGAGCATGAAACGATGCTGTACTGCAAACCTATTGCCCATTCCTAGGGAATTGATATGTAGTATGCGATTGCGCAAAGAATCGGCTCTCTCATAGTCATTCATTTCGATTTCATTTTCGCGTAATTTTTTATTGCTTTTTTTCTGTAGACCTCTGTAGTGCAGCCTCTCTAATTTCAATGAAAAATCTTGAGGATGTTTTACATATCACCTGTTGAAAAATCTCATGCTTGTTTCGCTATAAATTCAGCGGAGTTTCTTGAGAATATGTATGGTTGGCATTGTTATGTGGAACCTGCAAACGAGGATGGATGCTTAGTTGTGCTTCGAACTAATGTAAATGAATCACGTACTTGTAAAGAATTTACTGTATGCCATTCAGATTCGCATTCTACAGCGAGCCCAGGCGGATAAAGAGGCTCGTAAAGAAAAGGCGGCTAAATCTCAGGAGGAAGCAAGGTTAAAGTATGTTTATCTACTATATTTTTTGAAGCCCTATTGTAAAAGAGTTCACTTTTAGTCCAAGTCTAATACCCACTCCATCCGTCACACCGGCTGGACCTGGAGGGGCTCCACCTGCCCCTGTTAGAATTCTTCGGCGTCCTGAGAGCAGTGATAAAATGAGAGAAGAAAAGTATCAGGCGCAACGTGCTAAGGCCGAAGAAGCAGCGAAAAATCAGTTGACACCGGAGGTGTGTATCCTTTTTCTAGATTAGGATCAGCTATGACAGGAAAGTATCAGATCATTTGCAGCAAAAAGAAGCATTATATGTGAAAGCGCGAGATCGAATCATGGGGCCAGAGTACAAGCCTGACAATTCTCAAAACGCTCAAAATGTGGCTATCGTCAGTAGGTAAGTCCTTTTTCAAACTGAATCTCGGGAGATCCGTGCAATAGATAACCAGATCTATGAAATGTTATATTGATGTATGTTTGGCGAGTTTTCAAAGCTAAATGAGTGAACTGTATCTGCTTCGTGCAATATTTCGCTTACACAGTTTATCGTTGTTGTTTCACACGAAAGTGTTTTGCATTACGGCTACAAAACATCTTAGGCTGATGTCAGAGTCATTGATCAGTCGCGCGATTTCCGCGTTGGATCACAGAAATCACAAGTGCCCGATCAATACTGCGAGGTGCTCTCCAATCCCTTGCCATTTCTGCGATATACAAGTCAGTGTTTTTTATCCTCCCAGACAAGTCTGGTACCAATTAACCGACCCCGGAGGGATGGAAGGCTTGGTTGGCCCGGGCGACTCACGACCCAGGATTTGATCCCGGACCGCTCGCGTGGTAAGCGCGCCACTTGCCACTACACCACTTCCGCCCTTGAGGTTCTAAATTTAGTGGATAGCATTCTTTGAACATGCGTTAAGCAAACAACAATCATAAAATTGTGCTTACCAGTCATGTGGCTTAAGCATGTCACTAGGCAAGAAAAGATGGATATATAAGAGAATAATTAGTTTACAACGCGTTTATCGGGCGCTCAAGCTATGTCAGTCCGCTCGATGACCTAGATTTGTAGTTTTTGATGGCCACATGTGCAGTCCTTAGTGTTGTAAATCTTAGGGTAGTTGGGCAAGGATATGCAGCCCATTAATAACTGTTCAACTGCTGGTGTATAGAACGCACTTGCACTCAAAATCAGCTGATGGTAGCCATACTAATCTCCTTCACCTTAAAGCCCCACACTTCTCGTTTGTTTGATGTGCAACTGCCCAAGATATGTCATGCTAAGTGGTTCGAGCATCATATTTCAGTCAGTACTGGCAGCAATTCGCGATTATTTTCATTTGATCAGCCATACTGTGAACACGAAGTGCTAGAGGGTCACAGACTTGATGGCCTAGAAGTTGTAAAATATTACTATTGCTATTGTGTTGGAAATTTTTCTTTTTTCAGTCCCCTGGAAGAACATATGTTAAAGCTTACATTTTCGTTATATAAGTCGGCGCCTTTGGAGGAGCGTGAAACGGATGCTGTACTGCAAACCATTGCCTATTCCAAGGGAATTGACTCATAGTAGTATGCGATTGCGCAAAGAATCGGCTCTCTCATAGTCATTCATTTCGATTTCATTTTAATTAATTTTTTATTGCTTTTTTTTTCTGTACACCTCTGTAGTGCAGCCTCTCTAATTTCAATGAAAAATCTTGAGGATGTCTTACATATCACCTGTTGAAAAATCTCATGCTTGTTTCGCTATAAATTCAGCGGAGTTTCTTGAGAATATGTATGGTTGGCATTGTTATGTGGAACCTGCAAACGAGGATGGATGCTTAGTTGTGCTTCGAACTAATGTAATCGAATCACGTACTTGTAAAGAATTTACTGTATGCCATTCAGATTCGCATTCTACAGCGAGCCCAGGCGGATAAAGAGGCTCGTAAAGAAAAGGCGGCTAAATCTCAGGAGGAAGCAAGGTTAAAGTATGTTTATCTACTATATTTTTTGAAGCCCTATTGTAAAAGAGTTCACTTTTAGTCCAAGTCTAATACCCACTCCATCCGTCACACCGGCTGGACCTGGAGGGGCTCCACCTGCCCCTGTTAGAATTCTTCGGCGTCCTGAGAGCAGTGATAAAATGAGAGAAGAAAAGTATCAGGCGCAACGTGCTAAGGCCGAAGAAGCAGCGAAAAATCAGTTGACACCGGAGGTGTGTATCCTTTTTCTAGATTAGGTCAGCTATGACAGGAAAGTATCAGATCATTTGCAGCAAAAAGAAGCATTATATGTGAAAGCGCGAGATCGAATCATGGGGCCAGAGTACAAGCCTGACAATTCTCAAAACGCTCAAAATGTGGCCATCGTCAGTAGGTAAGTCCTTTTTCAAACTGAATCTCGGGAGATCCGTGCAATAGATAACCAGATCTATGAAATGTTATATTGATGTATGTTTGGCGAGTTTTCAAAGCTAAATGAGTGAACTGTATCTGCTTCGTGCAATATTTCGCTTACACAGTTTATCGTTGTTGTTTCACACGAAAGTGTTTTGCATTACGGCTACAAAACATCTTAGGCTGATGTCAGAGTCATTGATCAGTCGCGCGATTTCGCGTTGGATCACAGAAATCACAAGTGCCCGATCAATACTGCAAGGTGCTCTCCAATCCCGCCGCCATTTCTGCTTGATGGTGATGGTTGAATGACGACTGTTCATGATTCTACTTGTTTCATATTCAGTGTTTCAAATGTTCAAATGGGGCACTTGTGATTTTTGCGATTCGCGCGACAGTTCTTCAAATATGACATCAGCCTCGGAATTGCCTTCGTTGATGGATCAGTGGTTCCTCTTTAGTTTGAGCCCTTTCATTTAGGTGTAAATCACCGGAGCAGATACGAGTGCCTCGCTTTACTGACCTACCACTTGCTGGAACGATGAGTGGTCCTTCTCTTGATGGAACAATGGGTGGGCCGATTATGATGTCTTCAATGGGTACTGTGCAGGCTGTCGTTCCCACTTCTGCAGTTGGTACACCAATAGCGCCGACACAACAGTCTTCACAGCAGAAACCAACGTCGCTGTTAGCAATGTCATCACCACCAATGGGCATGCCGGTCCAGCAAGTGAATCCGATTGCTCAGCAAGGAAGAAGTCAGCAGGTTGGCGTAATTGGTCAGCAGCAGGGTGGCGTAGTCACAGCGCCTCAAGCTCCACAGACCATAAACGCTTATTCGCAGTACGTCATTGCCCAGCCTCAACAACACATACCGTACACAATGGCGATGGGTGCAAAACAGGTGAGAGCAAATCCTTTTTTGATCACTTCTAGCACGGGAAGCTTGAACATTTTCAAGAGTGCACTGGCTATTTTAGCATCTTCGTGCTAAGTTGGGGTACCTTTTTTGTCTATGTTCTATGATGAAATAACTCTGTATTGTGTCTTTCCTTAGTGATGGCAGTAATGGTGCTAAATAATGCATGAACAATAGTAATAGGAACGTCCCTGCTGGATACAAATTCCAAATAATACAGTCATTTTTGGTGATTATATAATAACAGTGATACTAAGTAAGAACGAGTCTTTTTGGTGTCAGACGAAGTATAGCCAGACTCTAAGATAGATTGTGTTGGAAATCACGAGAGTTCTGATTAGAATACCGCAGTGTGGTACGTTGCACTTGAACGCATAAGTTATAGTTATTTGGTCATATTTATTACAATCAACTATTTTGTGTCCGAAGAGTGACCCCAAAATTTTTTTTATCACAGTGAGTCAGCTCTAATTGAGCAGATGATGAATCTTCAACGTCCTAGGGTGCGTGACTATTCAATCGTGGCAGTGGCTAGGTCGCCGCGCCAGCCGCCGCAGCCCGCGATATCGCGGCGAATTTGCAAAGAACTCAGCATCCAAACATTGGGGAATGTAAGATTAGATGAAGTTTCAGTCATGAAACATGGAATAGGAATCACCTAACCCCTTGAAATGCAGTTTCTTTTCCTTGCCATTATTACAAACTTATCCTATCATGCTTATGTTAGCGCCTTCCTCACCGTTCCTCTGTGTCTTGGAACGTGATGTTCTTTCTGATTGAACCAGATTATCACTTCCTGATAGAAATTCAGGCAGCTGATTACCTGACGACCGTGTGGCCCACCGGGCGGGCCACACTTTCACTTAGAGGCGACTCGTTTTTCGTCATTTATTTGGCATTTTTGAGTGTTTCAAAGCTGGCTGTATACATTATTGAAAGCGCAAAACAATATGCTAGTTACTAATAGTGAAATTGTTTGAGTGTTAATGGATATTGACGAAAAAATTTAAAAAGAAGTGAAGCAATGCACGCACAACGGCGGTCGTCAAAGGGTTAATCAGAAGTTCGATACATCCTTAAAGCTAGCATTGGTACAAAGTTTGTACTGTGAGGCTTAAATCACTGCAGGGATCTTACAGTGACGCTTGCTGGCTTACTGATGTCCAGCACTCTGGTGTTATCAGTCACCTAGCCAACTTATGGGCATGGATGGATAAGAAAAGGTCCACACAGAAATCGCCGCAGCAACTGCCGCGCGCGACGATTCTCGCCGCGTGAGCGGCGTGACCTCATTAGCCGACGATTGAATTGACCGTCTCCCAACATCCTACCATCTTGATCTTCAGTTGGATGAAATCCTATCTTAATGCGGCGATATACATTTGCCTGTAGAGAGTGTGAGGCTGAACCCTCGTGGGTAGGCACCGAAACGAGAAATCAACGTTTCCTCGATGAATCGGTTGGATAGAGTTTCAGGGTTGACGTGAAAAGTAAATGGTTTTTAGTTTCACACGGGAGTTTTTTGAAGCATTAATCCCATAGTGCTTTGTGAATGTTGACAATAATGTTACAGCTGATGCTCCAACCCTTTTTCAGTTCAACTATTAGGGGTATAAGAAGCTACCAAAGCCCTTTATCTATGTGTCTAAGACACATTTCTTAGGCATCATCTGTTCCACTTTTGGGTAGGAAATAGAATTAAGAGCACGAATGACTCTCGATTATTTTATTGCAAATTTTTTATTTTGTGTCACTCAGCGTGTCTTTTCCATGTGTTCCATGTGTTTCATCTAAACCCTTACTAAATCTGCTATCAATTATAAACCTAAAAAGGTTGTTATGAAAAATTAAACATAAATGAAGTTGATAATAAAAGTTCACGACTACGATTTTGACGCAATTCGAAAAGTTGCCTTTCAAGTTGAGTTTTCTACGTGCATATATTCATCTAAAATCCATCTGCTCATTGACGCCATTATTATAGGTTTCTCTGATCAAAGATTGTGCAAATTTCCAAAGAAGCTAAATGTGCTTAGCGTCTTTGCAATTTCATTTGCTTAATCTTTGGTGGTGTAGCACTCGGTGATGCAGAACCCTCCATTGCTCTAGTGAAATCTTAATCCTGTGAAATGAACTGATAGCCTGTTTCTCCTTAATGCATGGCCTTTCACTGTGCTGCAGAGGTTTTTGCAGGCCATCTTTCAACTCATCGACGTTGCTAGGCAACAAGTTTACCAAGTGTCTTGTTGAATTCATTTCAATCATACGTGTTCTGGAAGGGTTCAAATCGCCATGTTTTTGGAAATATCACATGTTTTACTTTATTCGAAGAAAAAACTGCAAACGCTTCGATTTATTGATTTCAATTATTTCTCTTTTTTCAAAGATTCTATTTTCAGTCAATGGTTCCGTATATTGACACGACGAGACCTCCTCCAGCTATGACCATGCCGTCCATGTCAGCTCATGTGAATCCTCAGCAAATACCAGCGGGTCTGCCTGTTCCTCTACCTCCTGGTGTTGGACAAAATTATTACAATCCGCAGAATGTTATACCGAACCCTGTGCATCATCAAATGCGACAGAGTATATCACAGCAACAACAACAACAAAGCGGTATACAGTACGGGTTAGTTTGATAACAAAGTTTTAGTTTTACTTAATACCGGTTTTATGTATATGTAGTACTGTTATGGGTCTGCAAAGGCTTGACATCAGTCTTCTTCCTCTAAAATAATGGAGATTTTTGATCTATTAACAACTTTTCTGGAGTTTAAGATCAAGTGTAGTACAATCTATGGGTAACAATACTTTTGGTATGGCCGGTCTCTTTTTCAAAACAATACATGATTATATGTAGGTAGTAGGTCTGAAGCTAAAGTCGATCTATGCTGTGGTAAATTCGAAGCCTCGTCGCTTTCCCATTGTATTTGTTTTTTGAAACCAACCCTTTTCTCAGACCTGCGACGGTGCCGGTTACAAGGGGATAGGTAGAGTGCGCTACCCTCTCGACAATTGCCAAAATTGCAGCTTCATTTTTTCTTGTCTGGAATTCTGCACTCCTTTCTAATTTCATCAAATACAACCCCTCGATCTTATAACACAATTAACGGAATGGTTCTCTACTGGATTCATTTTCAACTGACAAACGCTCTGTGTGGCAGCGGACCTCTCCGCTCAAAGGGTGGAACCGACGGCCTCTGAAGACGACGATTCAGTCGAAACGTTAGGCCATTAATAAATGTTCCACCGAACAACCTCGTAAGGCACAAGAAATTTATTAAACTTACAACTGACATGCCGAGGTTACAAGAAGAGAGAAGTTGGAGAGTTCTCTACAGGGTTATCAGTGATATCGCCTTGCCTCATTAGGCCCAAACGTTCGCAGCAAATTATAAAAAGAAAGCTAATCAGTGATGTTCTCTTCGTCTTTATTCATGGTTTTGTTTCCATTTCGCAGGAAATCACCAGATTAAGAATTGGGAAAATGTATTGAGCCCATTTTGGGTCCTCATCATTTTCTATTTGTACGAAGTATATATGATTTGAAATTGAGCGAAGAGGATGGGGGATTAGGCTCCGTTTCGATGATGTTGAAGGATTCTGAAAAACTTGCGTTTTAACAGCTTTCGTCTTTTCCCCCTCTTGTAGATTGAAGAGCTGCAGCTATCAAAATCCGATTTCTGCCGCCGAGATTTTCTAATTTTGAGCATCTATTTATAGTACTGAAGAAAGTGACAAACAGGGTATGTGGGGTTAGGTCTTGTGGACCGAAAAAAGTATTCTCGAAGGATAGTACGTGGCTCTCATGGTTGTACTTTTATTGATTTATACGCTCTAAAAATATTATGATATTATGTTTCAACCTAATATATAATGAAGCAACATTGTCCTTACAAACTGTATCACAGTCACTGTTGTGCAGCTCTGTTTTGTCAGGCCTCCGGTGATGTCAATCTATCCGCCGGGGAGTTTATCAGCTGCAATGAGAGGAGATCCGAGCGCAAGTCCTACAGTATTGGTGGGCAATCCGCAGCACCAGAGAAAAGGTAGAAGGAGTCGAAACAAAAGGGAAAATCAATAGTTCGCCTGTATTCATCCCTTATTGTTTTTAACAGTGACGTAATCTTCATAAGAATCTCGTTTATTATTTCTTTAATCAGTTTTCTATCATCTTGTACGAGAATAGCACTCTTTTCGGGGTCGTTGTCATATTTGTATGATATTTGTTTTCATCTGGCAACCAAATGCGATGCGGGTGTGACATCTTTCATTTGAATCCTTGGAGTTTAATCGTAAATGGGAGTTTAGATGATGACTAAGAATATGTGAAGCCCGCAATGGTGGTTGGGGGTTATTTTTTCATCAAATTTATCGAATCCTTTTCACTTTGTGCGGGTTCCGAGCTCTAGTTATCCTTGTCATTGGCCCTACATATTGAGAGTATTCGTGTAACATTTGTTGTTTTCTTCGTTGGGATTAATCACTGACTTTTTCGCCTCATTTTTCGGAGAAAGTTGTTGAGAAACCAGTCCATTCTGATAATTCGGTTCTTGAAAGCTGTGATATGCGAACAAGCGTTGAAGTAGCCATGCCCTTTGTTCTTTTGCCTTGCTCTTGTGGAGGATATACAAAGCCCTTCGACAAGCTGCTTACCTCCTCTGGACTTTTCCCGTGTTGTGCAAATGTTCAGATTCATGCTGTTTATACAATCAGAAGAGTTCCATAGTTATAAGTGTACCCAGTGATGAATAAATTCAGGAGTATTTATATAACTTTATTCTGGAATAAATAGTTTAATGAGAATTTTCTGGCATTCTTCTGTGCTCAACTTGTAAAATACAAAGATGAAATGGCAATTCAGCTCCTGTAGAGTGGACGGGCAGTTGCAAAGCGGCGTTCATAGTTTGCAAATGGATGACATTAGCGGCTACTTAGGGAGCATCGCCCTTCTACGAGTGACGGAATGTCGCTGCTGAAGGAGTGTGGGGGTCGTGAGAAGTGCCTTTCAGCTCCGAGTAGTGGCGAGCTGCTAACGACGAAAAACGAACTTCACACAACTTATCAATCAATACGTATGTTTGTATAGAACGCTGGCCATCTTTTCGTCAACTATGGACTCCACCTTATGATTAACGAAGGAATTGTGGCACATCGAGGGAATCGCGTTTGAAAGACATTTGAAATGAGTGTGATGAGGTAGATATGGCATTGGTAAGCGGTGTTAGATGATCGACTCGTTCCTTCGTGTGTTCGAATGGTTGTTTTGACCAGAGATGAGAACTGATATATAGGAAGTGATCAGGTCGTCCATCTTGTAACCCTGAAATCAAGGTTTTTGCATGTTTTTTTAGCCGCCTTCCCATAACCTAGGGTAATCCTACCATAGTTGTGTCGAGGAGTAGCTTCTTCCCCTCATTGCCCCTTATTCCATTTCCAACAGTCATGTTTGAAGTATGTGTTGCCGCTTGTTCCAGTTGCAAATGACGTTGAAAGAGATACTGAAAACAAATTTTAATCTTTCAGTACTCTACTCGGCGATTGTGACAACTTTGGAAATACCAGCCAGAAAATATTCGGGTCGGAATAAGCTTATGACTCTCGCCAAAAGGGTGTTGTCACTACCTCAGAGCATACCCTTGCGTTTTAGGGAAATAGGAGGTGATAGGTGTTAGTTAAAATGTTTGGTACTGGTGGCTGGATGAGGGGTAAGGAATGAGGCAATACAAAAGTCAGGAGTAGCGCACCACCAATAAACCCACCATCTCAGAAATTTAATTTTTTGGCACGAAAACCATGTACCTGATGAAGTATTTGATGCCCTGAGTATGATTAAGACATTTCCTTTGATGCTGGAGTCATTTGGAGCCAGGTGGCGCCTCCTTGTACGATGGCTGTTTTTACCCAATTCGCTGTGAACTTGTGTGTAGGGGTTGTTCGATGCTCTGATTACGAAATGAAATTCATTCCTGGGCAGTATCCTGTCCTTTAAGCAGGATAGGGGTAGAAAGGATCCCTTCAAATTTTCATTGTTCTCTCAACAATTGTCCCAGGAAATGGCTGTTTATGTGTAAAAGTGACCCTGCGCTGGAAATAAGGAACACATATATAGTTGACAACGGAAATATAAGGTATTCTTTTCTTCCCTAGACGCTGGGAGAAATTACGGATTAGCGGCCCACCTGACCTCCGAATTGCTGCCCATTGATGCTATTTCATTTCTGCTTGGCTGCGTCTCTCCCCTTGATTGAAATCGCAATAGGACTGAAACGCTTCTGGATATGAGGGTCTTAGAGCGTGATGTAAGGCCACTTACCATCCTGTACTCAGACATTTCATACTTTAATAGCGATGCGTAAGTTTATCCACATTCAAGGACACCAACTTCATAATATTGCTCAGTCTCAGGTAATAATGTGAGAGCCAAGGACGAGCCAGGAATTCAAAGGGGTGGCCAATATACGTATCAGGACCACAATAACCTCTAATGTAGAAGTTTGCACTGAAGTTGGTGAAAACACTGTCGTGACAAAATGGCGCCAACTGGTGGCAAATGGCGCCTGCGCCAGAAATGAATGTCACTCTGGTGATCAAGGCATCCAGTTACATAATGATACGACAGTTTACGATAAGAAAACAAAATTCTGGGATTTCGACGCAGTAGAAGTGGAAGAGTGCGACATTTTCTGATGGCCGTCGTCACTTGCTTTGGGGTGTTTGCATGTGGCCGCTGGAACACAAAGGATAATAGCCCCACTCTCACCGCTTTCAGATGTACTCACAAAGCTTTTTAGCCTGCATGGGGAACCTCGCTGCTTCAAAATTGGCGATACTTAGTCAGAGAAATTTGTAGCTCAGTTTGTGGCTGTTTCGTTGCGCAGTTACGTCATTTCCGGCCGTTTAAACTGCACATTTCACACAGTAGAGCCAGCAAGTTGATGGCGTGCCAACTAATCGCGGCAAAATGAAAATCTGGTTCCTCGCACTCATTCAAGGAGCTTTTTTCATGTAACTCACGGGGCAGCTCAAAAAAAACCTAAGTTTTTTTTTTACCTATTTAACCAACAATGCGCATAACAACGGCTTAAAGGGAATTTTGAGAAATAACAAATAACTATTGAGTACCTGTGTGATCAACGTTTTGGTCTCGCAGTTGTAGAGGTGTACTCCCTTTTGATTGATAGCTATTAACAACTTGTCAGGCAGGCTAAGATCTGAGTACTGAGAGACCTGAAAAAAGTCTCGTTTATTGCTATCACTTTTTTATAGAGTATTTGTAAAGAACAGTCCAAATGGTGAACAAAAAGCGAATGCTGTCGATTTGGTGCCCATGAGAGTACGTAACTGTGAGTCGTTCGAGCAATCTCACTTTCACCGAACTACTGGCAGTTTAGTGATGGACCTGTGTAGGAAATATGTTGGCCTTCGATTATTTCTTGAGCGAGAGATTACGATAGAGTGTGTGTGCAAGCATGGAAGTACATGCACCAGTGGAAGCAGTAGTCAGGGGCCTAAGGAAAGCGAGATGTGGCCTTTTCGTGGCCAAATTAGCGCCCTGGGGCTGCCAATCCTCCCTGAGCTCCGCCTCCGCCGCCTGTGCTCCGCCCATCAGTGTGTTGCTAGCAGCATCATTGTTCTTATCATTTGGATGATATTCCACTTCGAGTGTGTATCCTATAACTTTCCCATGGAATGCGTCATCAATCAAAGCATGATCTTTGCTGGAATGATAGCGGCTATCGGTTTAACATGTGCAAACGACCTCTTAATTGGTTGCTAGCTCGTCCATTATCGGAGGTCAACGGGCAAAGAAAGGGTCCCATTTTGCGCGTTCTTGACGGATTTCTTTGCTTTTTTCGCCACTGGGGCATTATTCAGCATCTCCACTTCCACCATGAACCCAATCTTATCGTAATCCCTCGCTTTAAGTGGAGACGTGATGGTCTCCTAGATGGTGAGACGGAGTGGTTTCGTTATATTGAGACATGTTGGTCTCGTGGGCCTCTCAATCGTAGTCGAGGTCACGCATGAAGTGTAATAGTATCCCAAAATTATGTTGACAAAATTCAGTTGATTAGTTCAACCCAGAATTACAACAACTACAAAAAACATGAGTGGGTATTTTCATCCATGACATCCCTCCATCGGGGCAGAGCATGTATAGCCCTCCTCCAAAAAGAACAGCGATGAGACGGGATGAATTTGTGGGCTGCACACATGATATCCTGACGATTGCTGAATTTTTTCCCTCGATGTGTGCCTGTAGAAATTCGAGGGTATGGTAATCACAGCTTTAGATTAGGTGAGCATGTTGGACGCGACATCCAGGTGGGGCCTTTTTTTAGCATTCACACAGTCGTGCTCGCTCGATGTGGTCGGGCGTTCACCATCGCCATGTGAAACTTCCCATGAAACTGGTGAGAAATGGGAGCTAGGAGCACTATCACAGTTGTTCACGTAAAATGA